CGCTTAATTTCACGAAGAAAATAAGGTTATTAAAATGTTTGTTTCCTTTCGTTTTCACTTGTTCACTCACACACTCTCTCATACATATCCGCATGCATAAACAATGATTAAGTACAATGTTTCTTGAATTTTGTAATAATTCGTTGAAGGTAACGTTGTCAGCATTTTAAACCACTGACGATTTTCACTAAGGAAGATCATAAGTGTAAACATCTTTTGCTTCAGAAGCAGGAAACGTTAATGATAATTATTTTTTTCTCTATGGAATGAATATACTTCTTTTAAAAAATGTTTTTGCATCGTCAAATGAATAAATTAGAAACAAATTACATACAGCATCGTGTGTCATCAGGGATAAATCTTTTCTCCAAAGAAAAAAACAATGACTTTTCCTCATTTCTAAGGCAGATGCTTATGCGCATGCTCTTTTGTTGTGAAAATGGCTGCCGTATCTTTAATGAAAAATGACCTTTTTTAGTAGTGTAGCCCATCTTATGATGAGCGGTGTCTCATGCGGCCCACTGTTCGAAAAAGGTTGCCCATGCCTGATTTAGAATGTTTGTCTTCCAAAGAAGTAGGCTGATCTACTGCACATTTGATCCAGTCAAGCCTTGCGCCTTAGTTTGTTCTATATAACGCTACTGACACCAATATGAAAGACGGGAGCCGTTTTAAAACTATGGTCTAAAAGAACAGTTACACTTTCTTGTGTCTTGTTATTTCTTGCGAGATGATCGCTAATGTGAGTCTGTGCCAAACAAGGCTCAACTTAGAAAACAACAAAGCGTATCTCAATGTTCATTATCATTATTTAACGCATATATTTGACTCAGTGTCGCTAAGTCTTAACATGAAGCTCACAAAACAGCTTACATATCAATTTTCTCCTTGCAAAATCTAAGGTCATATTATATAACTCAATAAAACTGCAACTGGACACTACCATAGAATTTTACAAAAACCGAGCTTTTATTTTTCCTTGTGTATTTTTAAAAAATTAAACTGCACCCTCTTGTTATTTTTTATACAGTTCTTAACAAAACGCAAAGAGAAATAGTCAGACACTGAAACTAATAATAGTTCTAACAAGAAATATTATTCAATTTCACGGTATATTTTAAGTGGATTAACTCGCAAGTGAATCCACCTCAAATATGATTTTTTTTATATTCTCTTTCTCAGTTGCTTATTTGAAGTATGTAGCGATCGAATTTTGAGATAGCTATGGAAAATTTCACATGTGACAAATGTGGAAGTTAGAATTAAAATTGAAACTACAAAGCAACTATGGATACAAATCAGAAAGAGATAGCTGAAATTTTGTTGATACTTTTGGTGATAATTTTGGTGGAAATGAGGCTTGGAGAATTTAACACGCAGGACACATTAAAGATAAGAAAAGCAACGGGAAGTAAGGACTAACCTTCTTTACAAATATAGCCTGTCTGAAGTTATTATGCAAATCAAATAACCTTCAACAAGTTCTGAACCAATCTTTATCAAATATAAACTTGTCAGTATCCACCTTTAGTGATATATTTAACTAAATTGTGTGCCATTTTTAATTAGTTTTTGAGATATTTGGAATTTACGAAAATGGACTGACTGAAATTAGTATGCAGATTAAGCTAATACTAGCTTAAGATCTCTAATCTAATAAAATATTGTTTTCTTTTTGTCCATAATATATATTGAAACATGAGTAAAGGGAAGGATCTAACAATTGCTAAAAAACAGAAAATAACAAAGTTATTGAGTGAAGGAATGTCCACATTGGAGCTATGAAAAGGAGATTTGCAAAGATCATCGAACGATAAAGAAGGCAGCTGAAAATATGTTGAGAATTTTAAGCAAAGAAAAAGGCTTTAAGAACTTGCTTCCTCGAAATGAACGTAAAATAAAGCGAGTTATAGCGAAACAACCACTTTTGACCAACGCTCAGATCTTTGAAAATTGGAATTGAGAGAGTCAAGAAGGACAAAAGGTATAGAATACTTTGTGAATTAGGATCTATAAAAATTTCTGGGCAACCTCCTCTCACGAAAGGAAATATTTTAAAGCTTCAAAATTGGGCAAAGAAATACATGAAAATTGACTTTTCTGAAGTGATATTCACAGACGTATTTCGAGTGTCATTTGATGAACCTGGTGGATGGGCCAAAGTATGGATTTTATCCAATTTAGAAGTATCTTATAGCTAAAAGAAGACAAGGAGGTGGTTGCATTATGATATGGGCTGGAATTGTCGACCAAACCATTATTGGACCATTCAAAGTCGATGAAGGAGTTAAACTGAACAGTGCTAACTATTTCGATTTTATGAACCAGACTTTCTTTGCATGGTACAAGTCCCAGTCTCGCAGTTTCAAAGTGAATGCTGTTTCTTGTGTGTCTAAGGTTACCCACGAATTCTTTGAGCATAAAAAAATTTCAGGAGAGAGGAAAATATAATGACTACCATAAAGTCCTGATCTGAATCCGATCGAAAATCTGTGGTCAATTGTGAAGAAATTATATGAAGCTGGCAAACAATATAACAGCCAAGCAGACCCATCGGAAGCAATTAAAACTGCCATGTTGGAAATGGAACCTGCTGAAGTAAAAAAAATGTTATCAAAATCAATGGATAATAGATTATTGGCTGTTATTGAGAAGAGTCGCTATATTAAAATATAAATAATTTAAAGACTTATGATATATGTTTGTTATTTGTTCTATTATAGTTGATGATCTGTTTTTGATGATTTTATTACCTTTTTATTGTCGTAAAATGTGATTATAAATTCAGAACGGCATTTTTTTGAATATATCAAATGACTTCAATGAAACATTGATACTACCTAAAATTTTAATTCAGGCTTTGTTTGGACATCTAAATTGATTGTTTAAAATTTGCCGATTTTTTTCAAACCAAATTTGAATTATTGAAGTTTATATGATTTGCTTAATAACTTCAGACAGAGTGTATAAACAAATGAAAGGAGAAACTCATTCCTCAAAGAGAAAAGGGAGATATAAATCAGTTGGTTTCTTCTTTTGAATGCATGTCTTTATGCATTGGGATGATGTCACACACCTAAACGCCCTAAGGGAAGAAACTATTTTGACGAATTTTTTTTGTTTTTCGTCTCTTCGCTGTTGGAAAAGGCTGTTTTTAGAATTGAGCAGGCATCTTGTCCATCACAGTTGTTAGTTATTTATTCTGTTTTTTTTTTTTTAAGATATAAGTCTTAACTGTCATGTGCACGGGAATAATAAAGTGAAAAATGCTGGCCCGCTTTTGTGTTGAAGTAGTTACGAATTTCCCATTGATGTTACCTGTTGTTTTTCAAGCCCAGTTAAAAAGATATGGTTTCGTATGTTGATTTTTACAAAGTAAGCAGTACTTTCCTATTTGTTAAATTGGTGCGACATAAACCCATCACAAAGTTCGGAGAATTTGACCAGGGAAATGACATGGCCTCAAACCTAGTTTTTACAGTCTCCTTCGATTTGCTCTCTGTTTGAAGTTGTGCGATTTGGTGAAGAATATTCAGAATGCAAGATCTCTGGTTAAGAACAAAAACCGTACGAACGAAAACAACAACAAGAACAGCAATAACAACAACAACAATAATAATGATAATACTAAAATATTGTGTTAGACCAAAATGCAGATTCTGTGATAAATATCTAGAAACAATTGATCATCTTGTATCAGATTGAACGATATTGGCACCCACTGAATATAAAACCCGACATGATAGAGTGGGCCAATATCTGCACTGAAAAATCTGCAACACTTACGGAAAGGAAACTGCAAGAAATTGGTATGAACACCACCCAGACCCGATTACAATTTTATGGGACTACACAATACACACAGACAGAACAATCAAAGCTAACCTCCCAGACATTGTTATTAGAGACCGCAAACAAAAAAAAGTATCTCCAGACTGCAATATATTTTTGAAGATCTTCAAAAAGCTATTAAAATACAAGGACCTTAAAATCGAAATCTCAAAAATGTGGCACATGGGAACATCAACAATCCCTTTTGTAGTTGGAGCCATCGGATTGGTTGGAAAAGATTCCAGTAGACTAATTGAAGGGATTCCTGGAAGTCCATGCCTTAAAGAAATACAAAAAATTGTTCTCACGATTACAGCCCCACACTTTACGAAGGGCTTTATCTATGTAAAATATGTTTGTGTTTTGTTTTTGTTTTTTTTTTTTTTTTTGTTTTTTTTTCATTGAAAATGTCACGATGTCATTTCTTACCTTAGGTCTCTGGGCGGGACCCGGAAAGAAATGTGTACACACCAGAAATCAAAGGAAATATTAATAATAATAATAATGTACTCTCAAGTACAGCTCACACATTATGAAGCGCTTTATCTATGTAAAATGTGTGAGATCTTAGGTGATTTTTGTGTTTTTTTACAAAAATGATCAATGGAAAATGTCATGAAGTCAATTCCTGAGCTTAGATCTCTGGTTGGGACCCGGAAGGAAATGTGTATACAACAGAAATCAAAGGAAATAATAATAATAATAATAATAATAATAATAATAATAATAATAATAATGTTGATCTGCATCCAGCTGTCATTTTGAGTAATAGTTATTTGATATTTAGTTTCAGCAAATATATGGAAGTTAATTACGTTATTTCTTTTCCCTCATTTTCTTACTCAAGTTTTCTTTATAATAGGCTTTCAATCTATGATGTTACATTAAAATTGATTGTGTGCAATGACACTCCACGGCTCGTCATTCTCTGTCTTAAGCAATACATCGATGCGTACACATCCGTCTTCTCTTGTATTTGCTGAACATGCGCTTGAAGAAATAAATTACTTTCTTCTGCCTGGCCGTCTTCTCATCTTCCCGCCTTTAACGTTTCTTTCCTTTTGTTCTTGCATTAGTTTCGTCCCAGTTTTTCTTTTCTTCTTATCATTTCTAATGAGAAGTACCGCATCAGAGCCATATGCACTGATAAATCCGGGTGTTCTTATGCGTCAAATGGTTCTTTGTTGGTAGAGAGAGAGAAAAAAAAACGAGAAAACGAAGATAGGAGAAAGTGAGGGGGAGAAAAAAGTAAGAAAGATTAAAAGATGAAGAAAACACAAAGAGAAAGCGTTTGAAAGAGAGTTGATCAATAAAAAGAGACAAAGTGTGCGCATGGGTGTGAAAGAGAGAAAATGATAGACAGAAAGAAGAGGGAGAAATTGATCATCAAGCTATGAAAGAGCGCAAGAGATAGTGGCAAATTGAAGGGGTTTTTTATACTTATGTTCACCCAATTACAAGGCTCAAGAGCCACTGAAGGTAGAGGGTTACTAAAAGAAAGATGATGAAAGAGTGACTGTGCGTGTGTGTAAGAGCGAGAGAGAAAAAGAGTAAAAAAAAGTGATCAACCAGTTAACGAAAAAGAAATGAAAAAGAGAAAGAACTGAGTGAACAAGAAAGAGAGAACATATGCAGGGTGTAAGAAAGAAAGAAAGAAAGAAAGAAAGAAAGAAAGAAAGAAAGAAAGAAAGAAAGAAAACTAAAGAAAAAAGAAAATGCAGAGAATGAAAAGCTGTTAGATGTGAACAGTTATAAAACTACAAAATTAGATTTTACGAAGTAGGTTTTGCCGAGAACCTACTCGTATATATAAGTTACTATTGACCGCTGGTGTTGGGTGCCATATCCACCTCGGATAAGAAGTGACTACTCTATGTCTATATATACATAAAGTTCTTAGGGCACCTTGAGGTGGTGTAATGGTTAGCAAGCTTGTCTCGCTAAAACAATTACGAATGAGTAGTGAGTTCGATCCTCACTGGGTGCCCCTTACTTTCGGCACTTTCGGTGTCACATCCAAGCTACGCCAGGAAAATCACTATACATAAAGTTCATACATACGATTATAAGTTTTACCTTATTCACAATTAGAAAAAAATACTGAAGGTCAGGTAGGAGATGCAGTTAACACAGATACCCCCCATAGAAAGGGAAGTTTATCAGCTCCCGGCGTTCAACGGGCTGAAGGTGCCCCAGAAGGTATTGGTTTAACATTTGTAAAGAAATTCAAGTGAAAGAAAGAAAGTAAGAATATGTATTTATGAAAGAAAGAAAGGCCATAGACTGTCGTGAGGAAAAAAAAGTTGGAAATGTAAGAAGACTAAAGAAACTCACAGGGAAAGTCTGTGACAGAGAAGCTTGCGTGGAAAAGAGGTGAAAAGAATGAAAAAAAACGACACAGAAAGAACGATAGAAACTATGAAGTGAGTTAAAAGGAGAAAAGAAAAAAAGAGAGAAACAAAAAAGAAAAGAAGGAAGCGAGAATGTAAAAAAAAAAATATATATATTTGATGTTGACTACTATCTTCAATGCGATAACAATGTTATTCCTCCAAACATCTGGACAAAATTCGCAACATATATCAATTCAATACGTGCAATACCACTCCCTGAATAAAAAAAAAAATATTAATCAGCTTTGGTGGAGCGAGGTCACATAATCTTATACACAAATGTCATTACTCTATAGAAGCTATTCAAACCGAGGTTTACCAATTTCCGTTCAAGAGATGAAGTTAAGCAATAACTTCTAATGTTAGTTTTCAAATGGGCTAGTATAATTTGACAGTAGTGAATTCTGACAACAGAATGCGCGATATTTTCAAGGTTTTCATTCAGACAGTGTCACATTTTATTAGAAAAATCAATGTTTTCATTATAAACAATAGATGGCTACTTATGTTATTGACATTTAAAAAATACTGATATTTATATGACATTTAAAAAATACCGATGTTTATATGATAAATACACAATGTGAATATCTGCTTATATGTTTTTATTAGAAATATTTACATTATATTTCGTAGTGGGAGAAGTTATCCAATTCGAGGGTGATTCATCATATTATAAATATATAATAATAATAATAATAATAATAATAATAATAATAGAGTTATTGATAGTTTTAAATTTCATATAAACAAAGATTGTCATAAGATATAGGCTTAAAGTGGTGATCGTAAGGAAGCTATACGCTGAAAAGAGAAATAACATATTATATAAGTTATAGTGAAGGAGGCACGGTAAAGTAATTGATAGAAGCTCGGATTGAGGAATCGAAGAACCGAGTTCGAATTCCAGTCGAATCCATTACATTGACTTATGTGTGAAAGGTATGGCTCCTTTTCGTTTCCCCAGCTATGGGTAAATAGCAGGACAAATCGGGTTCTATAGTCTTGGATGGTACTGGTCGACCGCAGAAAGAAATGGCAACCTACTGCGGGAAAAATCTGCCTCGTCAGTCGTATATCGAAAGATACATGATCGCTTAAGTGTGTATCACGCATGGTACATAACTGACTGAGTGATCGGAGCAAAACATTGGAAAATGCGAAAACTTGGAAGCGATATCACTAAGCAATAAGAAAGAATCTGAACGCATCGGTAATAAATAAGAAAAAATTGTTTTTTTCAGAGTGTAACAAAAAGAGATTTGTGAATAAGGAATAAATAAGGAAGAAAAGATAATTACATAGCAAAATAATATTTGAAGACGATGATGTTAAACAGAGAGAAAAGATGAAAAATATTAAAAACATCGGCAAGAGACATTAATGTAAAGTAAACATCACAAAAAGATCTGAAAGTTGGGTGAATAAAGTATATAAAACTGATTTCTTAGCAGTAACTATTTATGATAAATATAGATGGACATGAGGCTAATCCTTTATGGAAATAGTAAACCAGCACAACTAAGAAGACAACATGTTATATATTGAACACATGTACACATCAAGTGCTCCAGACCAGCTGCAATCTTCAGCTAAGCGCCGTGCATCAGCAAAGTTTCGGCCCATTAAGCTCAGTACTTCTCCACACGGTGGGCCCGCAACAGCTGGATGATGTTACGTTGCTACCGGTCTATGTTGTTAGTTGGATGCGACTCGATGAGAATTTCTGGGTAATCCATGCACTGCCTTCCACCGCTTTCTTGACACAGATCTTTATTACTTTATTCGCCTTTTTGAATACCAACACACTTGAGGAATCTCTTTAAGGAAGCAGTAGGAAATCCTCTACAGCCAACCTCAAATGGCACCAGGGTATCCTCTCTCACGGACTTCAGCCACCAGTTCCTCATACCGAAGCAGCTTTCTTTCATAAGCCACTTCAATCCTGTTGCTTCTCAATATCAATTAACACTAGATCTGGCCTCAGTCCAGACAATAACCTCCACTGACAGTGTAGCATCAACCAACACTCTCTACTTCCTTGAGTCCTCCGACCTGGTCTTCTGCCTTGTGTCAGTCACACCTTGCTTCAGGAAGGCAATCCTTCGCAGGTCCGTCGAGGATATACTAGCACTTCTCGCAGCTGCTGCCACGACCTCCAGAACCAAGTTATGTCTGAAGGTGTACCAGCCATTCTGTAGCGCCTTCGGGCAGGATGACAGTATGTGGCGCAGGTTTCCATGCGCACCACACAACCGGCAGGAGGGTGACTCCTGCACTCCCCCATCTCTTTAAATTTGCCGGTGATGCCGTCATATGCTGCCTGTATAAGGAACCTCAAATGCCCTGCGCCTAGACGCCACCAATCAGACCAACTGATCTGAACACCCTCAATACTCTCCTAGTTGAGCCATCGACCCTGTTGAGCCTGTTGGACAGTCTGCACCAAAGGTCTCTCCTCCTCGTGCTTCCGGACCCCCTGTTCCTGTAACTTACGTCCCCCCTTGTCTACTGGCCTCTGACCAGAATCTCACTCTCTCAACAAGACCAAGTCCAGCATGACCCTTCCTTGTAACACCCTGAACTTCTACCTGCTTTACCATTCCTTCCACTGTTGACATCAGGTCTGACACTTTCCACTTTCTTATTGTCTTCGCCTCCAGCACATTTTTACAGATTACAGCATCTCGAGATTCACACAGCATGGACTGCAATCTCACCTTTGCCACCTTGTACTCCTCCACCATAGAAGAAACAGAAAACTGACCCCGCCTCCACGAGTTGCCATACAATGCGACCGGCGACAGAATCCTTGCAACACCAACCCACTTCCATACGCATTTACTGATTTTCCTCTCAATTATCTCAACTCGAGACAGTGTCACCTCATATGGTATATATATATATATATATATATATATATATATATATATATATATATATATATATAATACATAATAATTAACTTTTTTTTTTTATATATTATTAATTATTTACTACAAAAAATGAAAACAGCTAACCTCATGCTCAAAAATAACAACACACCAGCAAAGTCAAAATTACAACGAACAAAGATTATCTATGAGTTCAAATGCCCCTTAAGGAAATGTGTTCCTGATGAAACCGAATTCATAATTACATCGATTACACAACTACATGCTTATCCAGACGCCTTACGTTACACCTATCTCACCACAACTCTATCAGAACCCATTTAAACACGCACACACAAACTTACCAGACTCCATCCGAAACATACTAGTAAAAAACACAAACATAATAACCTCAACCACCTATAAAAAGTTTAAAAATAATGGAAGCCGTAATAATAAAAAAGAAAAAAAAACAACACTTAAGAATATTAACTACGAACACGGCCGCAATGTGCTAACCGTGTTCGGAAAATAAAACATCTATATAACATTAAAAACATACACACAATGCACACACTCAATTAAACTGAAAAAATAAAATCATCCTTGATAATGTCTAAATGTATTGCCGAAAGCGCATGAAATTATAGAACATTTTTCTAAACAATCTGTGTCGGAAAAAGTAAACATTTTTTCGAACACAAGAAAAATTAAATAAAAAGCTTAATCGTAGTACCTGCCGTTTTTAATGAAACATGCATAAATGAAGGATTGCTGCATAAATACATACACACACACACACACACACACATATATATATATATATATATATATATATATATAAACCTAAACAAAATCAATTATGGCATCTCTACAAATATTCTTAAATGTCTATAATTGGTAACAGAAGCCATTGGTTTATACCAACGGCTTTCCTTACTTCATTCTCCAATTCACTCTCGTGTAGTCATGTGTGACGTCATGAGATGCGGTGCGATTTTCGCTTCTAGCGTCTTATATGCGCGTGTTTATCGTTGCTTAGAGATTATCTATGTAAACAATGACAGACTATCATCACTGTCGTGTCCGTATATTGTTTAATATGTTTGTAATTTACATCTTTGATAATGGCTTAAGTAAGCCGAAAGCTTAGATTATATTAAAAAATATGGATCAATATTGTGAATTTCTTTCTTCGTTTAATGATAATATTATCAAACTTATCAGATGTTACGAACAAATTTTACATAAAATAAATAGACAACACTTGTCTATATTATTTAATGAAACGTGCATAAATATATATATATATATATATATATATATATATATATATATATATATATATATAGATTTAAATTTCATACATAGAAAGTTTGTTGTAAGATACAAGTTAAAACTAAATTCATGCATGACAAAGATTATTCCCATTCTACAAAAGTGAATACTGTCCACCTTGTCAAATAAAAGGTTTCAAAGAAACTAAGTAAATGAAATTTACCCGAACCTTTCCAGATATTAATCCGACAGAAATTAGTGGCCTACGTCTAATAATAATAAGCTGCAAATAATTTTAAACTTGAAGTAGTATTTTGGCGGAGTTATGTAGATGTTATAGCAACTAAAAGTTGGTAATAGCAAACTCAGGAAAAGAAGTAAACATTTATAGATTAAAGATTACAAGAAGCCAATATGAACACGTGAAATCATAAAGTAATTATTTATTCATGTTTGTGGTGTATTGTGTTAATTAAAGATTTTTATTTATTTATTTAAAAATAAAATTTTATATTACGGTTAATTTGCTTGCATAATAAAACCTGATAATTCTTAGACAAATTATTATCAATTTTGAATAATGAAAGATATTAGAAACTTAAACTCTCATAATATACTGATCACATTAATTCAGGATGTTCCATAATGATGGGACACATTTTAAATGCAAGTATCTTGAATTCTAAAAATGATATGGAGTATCTAATATATTTAATACATAACTGACATAAAAGAATTAAACATCGCCAGTACAGTTCCCTGTTGCAGTCACCTGCTCAAGCACATATGTATTTGTTCAACACACACAAAGAACACCTTTGGTTTATGCTGCAACTAGGCTGAGTGGAAGTTAATTACAGTTTCTGAGAGAGAGCACATATTCTTGAATGAGCAGCAGTGTGAACAACGCCTGTACACGCTTCTAAAACCCTCGGTCGCAATCATATCACCCCACCAGGTCGATAGCATCACCTTCCTTCCTGAGTCGATCTCTCAGGAAGAGAGAATCTGTCATTGCCAGAAAGAACCAAAACGAAACGAAACTACTCGGCCAAATAAATCAGTCAGTTATCTGCCCATGCGAGGCAGATTTTTTCCTGTAGTAGTTTGCCATTTCTTTCTGCGGTAGATCAGTTGCCATCCAAGGCTATAGAACCTGGTCTGCCCTACTATTTACCTATAGGTAGGGGAGAAGAAGAAGATTCATACCTATTCTAAGTAAATGTAAGTGGTTGTAATGGATTTGACTGGAATTCGAACTTGGCTCTCCGATTCCTCAATCCAAGCCGTTATCCATTACTCCACTGTGTCTCCACCGGCCAAATATATATACATAGGCTATATCTGTGTTTGTATTTTTGTGCATTGAGTGCATTTTTATGTGTATAAATGATATTGCAATAGTAACGAACAAAAGCAGTTTGGATTCAGGAACTGTTTTTTCCCATAAACAAAAAGATCATTTCGAAAACGAGAATGAGAACAAAAGATAACGAGGAGACGAAGGGACAAAAGCCAAGTAAGAAGAAAGACAGGAAAGCACAAGCGTTGCTCTTCTTTATCGCGTAAACAATCTGACCAATGAAATCAATGATTTCCTTTTCCTCTCCGACCTCATCTTACTCCGCTTCCTTCGCACAAATAATACTCCTCTGAGAGGAGAGTTCATTTCCTCAATTCAACTCGGATCTGTATTAGGAGAGGAGATATAAAGTGGATGAACCAGTTGGGGCTTCAGGAGTCAGTGACGTTAAAAAGTATCGAGGTACCCACCCGTCTCTACCTGAATTCTCTCACCATTTACCTCCTGTTTGTGCCCTGACAACTGTCTCTTTGCATCGGATGTTGCTACTTTAATTCTTATGTCCATTTTATTCACTTCCGTTTTGAGACTAAAGCGGAAGTCTACCATTACCGGAAGTATGTTCACTATACAAAAAGGGAATGAATATATATATATATATATATATATATATTTGTGTATGTCTGTGTGTGTACACACACAGATATGTGACAAAAATATATAGACGTTTCTGTTTTCTAACAAGAAACATTCACTCATTTAAATGATTCATTAGCATTAAAATATTCTAACGACTTTTAGAAACTTTTTCCCTTGTATCCA